TTTTTTTTTTTTTTTTTGGTGTCGGGAATTGAGCTCAGGACCTTGTGCTTACGAGGCAGTCGTGGTGCCACTTGAGCTAAAATACCAGCCCTCTCTATATATTTGTATCAGACAATAAAAGAGTTTTTAAAGTTTTGACAAAAAATTTTAAAGATCACAGAAAAATTGTGAAGTTTCCCCCTATGGATTAAGATTGCTTTGAATGGTTTCAGCTTCCATAATCATTGTTACACTTCTCTACCACAATAGAAAAGGAGGGCCCCTTGAACATATTTTTCTTAAGAGTCATATTATTTCAAAGGCTAGCTTAACAGAAAGTCAGTTTATCCACTATACTAACAGATTAATTGGGTAAAATAATAGGATCACTACAGACATTTTGAAAAACTCTTTGAAAAATAAAACTCCAATTCAAGATGGAAAGTTATTATAAACAGTATAAAATAATTCTGATAATCTGAAGAAAGAAAAGCTAAACAAATAGAAAGTACAAAATGCATGATAGAAATGAATCCAAATGTGTTGTTCACCACACTAAATATAAACGGATAAATAATAACATCCTTTTCTTAAGAAAAGAGTGTAAATACATTCTTTTAAAGGGAGACAAAACTGGAGCATTAGGATGTAGGAGAATTGCTACAAGTGAGTTACTACAAAATAATAACAGGTATAACTCACCAGGAATAACCTGAGTAACTTTTAGCAGTTCTTGTGCTGTTGGTCTGTTAGTAATTTTCACTGAATATTTTTTTCTTTCAGCATTTGAAAATTATCTTGGATTTTTGCATGGCTTCTGAAAATGAGTCAGAAATCCTTTTTATCTCATTTCCTCTGTAGTAAAATATGTCTTTTTCTGTGGCTGCTTTTAAAATGTTCTCTTTATAACTTGTTTTCATCAAACTGATTATAATATTCTTTAAAGTAGCTTCCTTTGTGTTTGTCTTGGTTAGGATTCATTGAATCTCTTGGATTTGTGGATTTTATTGGTTTTGTTTATCGAATTTGGGGGGAAATCGGCCTTTATTTCATCATATATATATATATATATATATATTTCTTCTGTCCAAACACTTAATATCAGATCACTAAATATTTATGGAAGACCACTTATTTGTCTACAAGTCACAATGTCTTTGTTCATTTTTTCCTAATTTTTTCTTCTATGTCTAGATTACACAATTTCTATAGGTAGTTTCAAGTTTTCTGATGACATTTCATTATCTAAAGTACTGTTAATCTTATCCAGTGCATTTTTCATATCAGATGCCATATTTTTTAACTCTTAAATGGCCATTCAGCTCTTTTATGTATTTTCAATTTCATCTTTATTGTTTTTATATTTTATTTAAACCCTTGAACCCATTTACAATGGCTTTTAATGTTTTTGTCTAACAATTCCATTATCTCTAATATTTTGAGGATGGGATATCTCTGTTGACCGATTTGTATTAGGTACGGATTATGTTTCCCATTTCTCAAGTCGAGAATTTTTTATTAGATATTGGATTCTGATGTTTTTTGCGTTGGTTGTTTGGATTTTGTTAACTCCCTTCAATGAGTATCTTGGGGCTTCTTGGAAGGCTTTTAAATGCTTGGTATCAGTTCGTTCCTTTCGAGGCTTGTTATTGAGTGTTGTTGTGTAGACGCAGATGAGCTTAATCAGTGGTTAATTTAGCCTCACTCTAGGGCCCTGTCCTTCCAAGGCCTCTACTGAATGCTCTGTGCTTGAACCGCTCCTAGCGTTGTCGGGGCTCTTGAATTGCTTGGCTTGTAACTCTCCCAGACTTGCGTCTTCCCTAGGAGTTGTGTTTGCCCTGCCTTATGCAGTCTCATCCATTATTATTCAGCCACAGATGAGAGAGGAATTCATGCGAATTTCTGGAGCTTTTTCTTGGTAGCACCTTCCTTACATTCCCTCGGTTCCACCAACCCCACGCTCTCAGCCTCCCAGACGCTAATCTCAGTCTCCACACCTCCTGAGACCCCACCTTCTGCCTGGGCTTCCCCTCCCCAGATGGTGGTCTGCACAGCTGGGCTGGTCACAGGCCTGACCTGGCTTGTTGCCGCTTCTCCAAAGGGTCACAGTCCTGTCTCTCTGTTAGGCCAAGTCTGGAAACTGTTTTCATACATTCTGTCCCTTTTCTGGCTCTTTCCAGTGGGACAGCAGATTGGTTCCAGTTGTGCCGAAAGCAGAACTGTAAAGTCATGGAAGAGGGCAATTTCTAGGTAAAGTGAGGATGAATAAGTGGATGAAATAAGTCAAACAGATTGCCAGCGATGATCTACTGCTGCTTGAGGAAGCTTCAGTGTCTCACCTTAAACGAGACTACTCTTAGTCATGTTGCCGGGTTAATTTAAGGCCCATTTTTCCTCGCAGGCCATGCATACTCTGGAAATTATCCTTTCACAATGGGCATTCAATTAATCATTAACAGCACTGGCAGTGCCGCCTCTGAGAGCTCTAGCTGTATTCCTCCAGTGGGGATGCGGGCTGTGTTCACCAGGAGGAAGTAAGAAAGCTGCAGGCTGTGCCAGTGATATGAGAAATAAGTCATCTAACTCGCTCTCAAGGTCAGGCATACTCATTTTTGTTTATCATTTCATAGAGGAAATAAGGCGTTTCTTTGTATAAGTATAAGGTTCTGCTTTGGGATTATGGCCAATTTCCTCCCTTGGTTTGTGTTCGTATTTTGATCTTGTTAATCACGGGGACAGAGTTACTTGTATGAGTGAGTCTCTGGAATGTCATGTATACTTGTCTCATAGCCTGTTCTCCAAGGCTTATAACATACTAGATGTTTTACCTGAGTGAAAAATTAACCATTAGGATACTTATGAAACCCAGTCTCTTCGTTAGGTATAAGAATTACGATTTAAATTAGCTTGTGTTATGTCGGCAGAGAACTATGTGAGATGTTAAGTAACCTAATGCAGAAAATAAGTAAAGGAAACCAATCATTTTCAGCATTTTACCCTTTTCCTAGGGCCCACAGGATTCCCAGTACTGCATTCCAGACACAGTACAAGCTGAGCTATCAGCCGGAAAACTAGGACGGGGTTAGTTAGCAGAGCGGGCACCAGGGTGCAGAGTGTGTGATGCTTTTCACACTAAAAACCCAGCCTGCTCTGTGGATGTCAAAAAGTTCTAGACGCCAGGAGATTTGACCAAGAACAAACAATATTGGGTGAAGGGAGGCAAGTCAAAGGCTGGGTTTTTAATCATAGCCTAAGAAGATTCCTGTTTTCATAGCACGAGGATTTTATAAGAATGCTAGAACCATTCCAAGATTGTAAAGCGATGTTTTAAAATCCAGTCCTTTGAAGGCTCCTTCCAGGTCTTCAGTACGTTCCGGTTCTTCAGCTTTATGAATGGAAAAAGGTGGCGTGTGTCCACTGGTTTAATCTAAGGTGTCAACAATCCCTCTGTGAAGCTATTGAAATAAGAGGAGTGTCCGCAATTACTAAATATCTGCCAGTGATAAAAAGAGCAATTGCATAAACTTGCTGTGAGCATCAGAATGATTCAGCGTTTTACACACGCAAAATGTCATTTCTTTGCCTGTGCAGTCGGGTGGTTTTCAGGAACACTTTCTCCTTGCATGCCGGTGAGGTGGTTGGAAGGCAGCAGCTGCTCAGGCCTGCAGCAGTCGCAGCGCTGAGGGCTAGTCAGAGAGCTGCACAGACCCTGGCCCCTCTACCCACTCTGCCCCAAATGTTCTCCTTTGACAGAGTGTATGCAGTTACCCGCTGCGGCAAGCGTTTCTGAGCCTGGCTGGCTAAACACAGAGGGATGCCCTGCATTCCTCACAGGAGATCTATTGCATTCACCTGGAACAATTTATGCCCAGTCTTTGGCTTATCATATGCTCCCTGGGGGACCTGATTGAGGAAGGAAAGAAACAGGATATAGCGGCATGGCCATGGGTGCGTGGTGTGGACATCCACCTCCCAAAGCCGAGGTTGAAGCCATGCCCATTAACCTGTAACTTCCATGTCTTTGTGTACGGTGAACCCTGGCTCTCCGGGCCCTGCCGATGGGGTGCAGCCTGGTAGCCAAGTTTCCTGGATGGTTGTGGAGAAGCAATCCGGCCTTTGAAGACTAGCTACTCTGGGATCGGAGTGTGACTCAGTAGAGCACATCCATGGGGGCCTGGGTTCAATTCCCAGCACCCTAAAAGAAATGAACTATCTTGGAAGAAAATCATCCTGGAAATTATTTTCCTCTCATAAACAAGATATAGAGGACAATTTTCCTGGGGACATACTCTAAATAGCAGTCTCAGTGATGCGCTGTCATGCCAGGGTGCCCTCAGGCTACTGAGATGCTGGGTCATGTATTGCTCACTGCATGGTTCCAGATCCTAAACCCTTTAAAGTTCCAGGATTTTTCCCCCAACCCTTATGGCATTTCCTTTGGCTCTTCCCTCATAGAGACATTCATTGTTAGTGGTCACAGCTTTCTGTTTGTTTGTTGACTGTAACTGTATTTATTGTGGATCCAGAGCTTCTGGTGAGGCTCTTGTGGGGAGGGACACAAGGCAAGATGAGTGTCACGGAAAGCTCAGAGGTGGCTCCGCTGGTGAGGGGAAGGCGAGACCTCACGCGCACAGCCCGCACCCAGCTGTCCCCAGAGGTGGATGAACAGGGAGGCACTGAGGCTGGTGGCCAACCACACACACACACACACACACACACACACACACACACACACACACACACGAGAGACTCAAGGCTATCTCCAGAGCTATTCGCCAGGGCAATCGACTTGGTGCAAATTGAATTCAGAAGGGGGCAAGTGGGGAAACAAAGTCATGGATGCTTTGACTCTCAAGAAATGGGAAGAAGAAAGATGAGAAATGAAAAGAGAGGAGGCCGATAAAGAAGAGAGGAGGAGGCGCTGGCGGTGGTGATGGGGCCATCGCTGGGAGGAGGCTCAGCTCCGGGAGGGCACGTGGGGAGGCGGTCTCCCGCATGCGGCAGGGGCTGGCCCTGGAGACGGAGCTGCCCGGGTGTGGGCGCCGCGGGCCTGCTCTTCCGTGGTGCTCCTGAGGCCCGTTCCTCCAGCTCTACCTTCCACAGCCAGGTCCTGAGTGATGGACACAGCTTTCCGTTATTAAGAGATTTCAAAATATCTTTCTTAATTGATTTTGAATTGAACTGCTGTAGCCAAGTTTCCTGGACAGAGACTATGAATGAAGTCGATTAGCTTTGGAGCATAGACTTGGTGACATCCATCATCTGCTTGAAGACATTTTTACCCAGTTTCTTAGATAATTGTGGTTTTGTTTTTTGGTTTGTTTTTTTGTATTGGGATTGAACTCGGGACCTTGTGCTTGCGAGGCAGGTGGTGGAACCACTGATCTAAATCCCTGGCAGAGTCTTTGATAGTTTTGTTTTTATTTTTTTCCCAGTTTCTTTTGGAGCAATGTGTTCCACATAGGTGGGGCTGCTTGGGAGATGAGCTTTTATTAGTTGTGGTGTCATTACTATGATATACAGTAGTTTATACATTCCTTGTACTTCGGAATTGATAGCAAAGAAGGATGCTGTTTGCAGGCCCCGATTCTGAATGCAGATACTCTTTGTGCCAGTTGCTGACAGCTCTGGGTGCCTAAATCCACAGCTGAGCTCTCTGTGGTGTCACCCTCAGCCTCAGGGAGCTGCTGCCTCTGAGGAGGCCACATGACCACCCCACCCCCGCCGCGCCACTCATATCCAGGGACCTATGGGTGTGGGTGTACAAAGGCCCAGCCTCCCTGCCTTGGTTTAAGATAAGTTTGCAAGGCCGTCCTGGTTCCAGAACCTTCTGAAGACCTGGCTGAGGCCTCTGTTGTAGCTCTATGGCTGCCGTCATCCCCTCAAGGTGTTGTTCCAAGTGTTCCCAGCCCAGAGAGCCTTCTGCAGGTAGCTCTTCCTCTCAGGATCTGTTTTGAGGAGAGGCAGAAATAAGTTTCTCCTGACCCCTCTGGCCTGGCTGGTGTGAGTCGCTCCCAGTTCTATGATACAAGTATTTGTGCTGTATGACGGTACAGTACCTCCATGTGACCCTCTTCTGCTCCAGCTTCTTGATTGTCACATTTCCTAGAGAATTCCTTCAAGTGGGGATTTTGAAGTTTACTAGATGAGGTCATAAAAATTAGATCTTCAGAAATAGATTACAATGTTTGTCCTCTTATTCACAGAAGGTATATTCCAAGACCCCCAATTGGTTCATGAAACTCTGGATAGTACTAAACTCTACTTACATGTTTTTTCTTGTACCTACTTAGAATAAAGCTTAATTTATAAATTAAGCATAAGAGATTAACAATAAGAATAATAAAACAGAAAAATTATAACAAAATACTGTACTGAAAAATTATGGTTTCTCTCTCTCTCTCTCAAAATATAGCACTTCTATCTTTTTCACTTAAAGGAAGCAATTTATGGCTTCTCTTTGGTGTATCTGAGTTGCCAGCATCACTACTTTAAGTGTAATAAGTGTCATTTAAACACCAGCATTGTGCTACTGTAATACTCAAGCTGCCAACTGAGATGGCTTCAAAATGACTAACGGGCAGGTAGCACAGATAGGTGGACGCTCAACAACCGGAAGAGTGGACTAAGACCCGTTTTGTCTGGTTCCTTAGAACAGCATACAATTCAAAGCACAAATTCTGTTTTTCCAGAACTTCTCATTTGATATTTTTGGGCCATAGGTGATCCATGGGTAACTGAAAGCATGGAAAGTGAAATCATGGATAAGGGGGAGGATCACTATGCAATACTTTTATTCAAGAGGTTTTACATCTGCATGTAGTTGACGAACAGGAAATTTTTGTTACTTTAGTTTTCAATGTTAGAACTATTTGTTTTTATTATCCTCAATGTTTATTTATTCTTTTTAAGCCAATGGTTTTTGTTATAAAAGAAAGGAATATTTATGAATGTTTTCCCACTTTGGCCCTCTTTAAATTCTCTCTCTGATATGGTGGTACATGCCTGTCATCCCAGCAATTTGGGAGGCTGAGGCAGGATAATCTCTTGAGCTGAAGAATTTGAGGCCAACATGAGCAACATAGCAAGATCCTGTCTCAAAAAAAAAAAAATTCCCTTGCTCTGACATTTTACAGCTAAAACTTAGATGAGTAGTCTATACCTTCATTCTTTTCTTTAAGATCTCCATCCTAGTATTTTGATGATCAGCTCTGTCTGTGGCATTCATTCCAACAGGAGGTTTTTAGTTCTAAACTACTTAAATAGCCTGGTTAACCAAATTAAATGTAGAGATTGGAAAAGCTGCTGAAAAAAAAACAAACAAACAAAAACCCAAGCATTCTAATATTGTACAAATTTTAATTTAGTTAAATCACTTGTAAACAGTAAAAAAGTACCACTGATGAAAGGCACCATACCCTAAACCAATTTCACCTATTTCACAGATGAACAGTCATGGGAGGGTATTAGAGATCATCTACTCCAAGTGCCTCGTCGTCTAGATGATGTGCAGGATGAATTCCGCAGAGTCGTACCCTAAGGTAGGAGTGGCCAAGCTCCATCTCTGTACTTCAGTCCTCTCTATCCTGCCACACCCCCCCAGAACTCCTTTCACATTCTTTCCACATCATCCATGAACCCGGAGACTTTTCTTGACTCAATACTTGGAGACCACAGTTATTTTAACTTCACTGTGCTTCCAACCTCAAGTGGGTTTCTGGCATTCCCAGTTCCTAATTCAGTTATGCAATCGAGCAGCATAATTTCACCAACGTAAGTTAGCCTGGGTGAGAAAATATGTAGGCATTTTTATCCATTTCAGGATTTTTTAAAAAAAGGAATAACTTGATAAGACCCTTTTAGGAGCTCCATTTGAACCCAACATACTAAGACAATGATCAGGAAATTTGTCTGGTCCTTTCGTGTAACGTTCTGCATCATGGGAATTGTGGCATTGCCCATGGTGGGTTGAAGCCATTTCTGATCAAAAAGTATGAGCAAGTTGGTTCACTCCCCATATACTTAGGCTCCATCTATAATAAATGAGTTAATTAAATACGTAGCAAACAAATATCTACTATCATGAGTGTTCATCATGGAAGGCGTCGGATGAGCTTGAATAAGAGTCTTAGCATTTCTCAAGTAAGATAAGAGCGGTACCAACTCAAGGGAGCAGGAACTCTGATTCGACTTCACAAATATTTTCCTTTCATATCTCTGGTCTTTGTCAATCTCCTTGGAGTCACCAAGGCAGACAAGCAATTGACAGTTTCTTACAGCAAATCCTTTTGCCTGGAAATCCTGCGTAGCAGGTATGGCCTGACTTCACTAGAAATGATAAACTAACAATGCTGCTATTCGAGTTTGGGAGACCCAAAGGAGCAGAGATCTATCTACCTGCTATGTTGTCCTGATCTCTCCCTTGAAGAGTGATAAAGACCTTCAGTGTAGTGGGAGGGGGGTGTCGAGGGGAGCAACATTTCCCTCGGCTGCCAGCATACACGAAGGACTAAGTTCTCCAGAGTTTCCTTGGGCTTCAGCCACCCAGAGAAGAAGCAAACCTAGCCTTGACCTCATCCAGAACTCTACATTCTGGCCATGTCTCCGAGGGCATCACAGGCTGCAAAACTTTGTTGAAGAATGGGTTCCCTGGCTTCCTAAGAAATGCCCTCACCTGGAGAGTGTGAGTCTGACAGTGCTTCTTGGGTTTGCTTGAAACAAACAAACTGGGCCCAATGTCCTTTGGACCAAAGACGTCATGTCCCCACTGTGGGTTTGGCTGGTGCCAGCTGCTGTGCCACCGAAGGCACTTCAACACCCTGCTGCTTTTCCAGAACCAGGCAGGCACCTTTAGAGATTCTCCAGCCTCTTGCTGCACAGTGCTCCTCGGCCCCCCTCTGCCCTCATCGCCACCAGCGCCGCTCATTTCCTGGCACCTTTTCCTTGGGCACCGAGACGCACACAGGTCAAGACCTGCTCTCTGACAAAGGTGTTTCCTTCCTATCTAACATATGCAGGCAGAAATCATGTTTCATAATGTTTTTCTCCTTTTGTTCTCAGATGTTCTAAGCCAGCCCCCTGCAGGACATGTCCCCGTTAGAGCACCTGGGGTAGAGCTGGCTCCTGGATCTGCGGGAGAGGCCAACAGGTTGGCCTCCCATGACTCCGCCATGAAATCTTGGGACTGGGGCCAGATGAAATGCCAGAGATAACGTGGGAAAAGAGGTGCCAGTGCCTCCTCTCAGAACAAGCCAGAAACCCATGGAGGGCATCTTCGGGAAGCCAAGCTTGGAGTGGATGTGGAAGAAGGGGCCAGATGAGCTGGCAGGTCACTGCCTCCCTCTAGAATGGACTGTGGTTTTGTCCCAGGCCCAGGGGAGCAGGTCTGTCATTGGCCTTCTCTCAGGGTGCTCACTGTATTAGGGGCCCAGCACCTCCTCTCGAGCAAAGTCAAGAGGCCACTGGTGACGTTCAATGCATGTCCACTGCATGTGCAGTGAGAAGCCCCTCCCTGTGCTCTGTGTGTCCCAAGGCCGAGCGTTTGGTCCATCGCAGTCCCCATTTCTGTGGGCACCACCTTGGCCTCCTGTGGTCACTTCTATAAAAGCAAGTCAGTCAGCTGAAAGCAGAAAAGGACAGAGATGTAGCTCTGGCTCTGAGCAAGGAACGAGTGTAAACCGAGCCTGAGTGCCGAGGCTCTCACGGCAGGTGTGGGAAGCTGGCAGTGTGGTGTGGTCGAGCAAGGCTGTCCTTTCCTTCCCTTTAATGCTTAGAAAGGAATAACTCTGCGCTGATCTGGGGTCCAGCTTCCGGTGCTTCTCATGGAAAACACTGTAAGACAACACCAAACTTCAAGACCCTTGTGGGTCCTGGCTGGGGATAAAGGGCTCCCTCCTTCCCTGCTGTGATTGTGTTTTTCTCGCCTAGTCACTCATTTTCTAGAGTGTTTGGGCATCTCTGGCTGGTTTTGTAGATGTATTTTGCATTCTGAGATCCCGCTCGGGACCCCAAGGCTGTCCACCGAGGCCCAGGATGCAAACAGCACAGCCCTCTGCACCCTGGAGCCCTGGATGGCTGCAGAGCCTGATCCTCTCCACAGCTCCAGTGATCTGTACGCTCAGCAGAGAAGACAACATCACCCCCTCATGCCTCTGTGGAATGCCACTAGCTAAAAAATGGAAATTGCAACCCAAAGCTGGACACTGCAGAGTTCTCTCAGGAAGGACCAGCAGGATTTTACAGGAATCCTGGAAATATCTAGGATTCTTGAAAAAAAAAAATCCTTGTTGTGAGGCTTACACATTGAGAAAAACATGATGAAATGTGATTTCTATCTTCCTAGCAGTCAGGGACAGTATGGTATTCGATTTGAGAAGCACACACACAACTCTGGGAGACAAGTCTGAGCCTGAGTCTTGAAGTCCCAGCAGGCCACGAAGGAGAGATACAGAGAGCGGGCTTGGGTAGACTGGAGCCAGACTGCCCAGGGCCCACCCCAGCTCCTCACTCAGGGAGGAGGGCAAGTCACTCAATCTCTCCAGGCCTTGGTGACCCGGTCGGTATAGTGAGAACAGCAGTAGTTCCTGCCTTGTGGGCTTGTTATGAGGATTCAATTTTTTTTTTTTTTTTTTTTTTTTTTTTTTTTTTTTTTT